ACCACTCGGGAGGCCTCTACACACGTTCTACCTGGTTTAAGTAATTTAAATTCAGACTGAAGTATTTTTACATTTAAAAAACACATTGACAATTTTCACACAAAAAAAAAATCATTTCTTGTTTTACTCAGACACCTGTGACCCACTCAAACCTCTTGAATGAATGCTTCAATCTTGTTGACATCGGTAAAGTTCTGTCACCTCCTGCTTCTTTCACAGAGCAAAGACATTTAGGGACCAAGGAGAAAATGCAATAACAAAAAAAAAAGGGAACGATTTTCTGTGCTAAATTTCCAAATGACATCACCTTGACCAGTTGTAAGGAAATAGAAAGCTGTGTAGTTGGATGGAAATTATCCAACCATTATGCAGAAATTATGTTGAATATATAATAATAAACTACATTGTATCAATCTGACTCCCAATATTATGTGAATAAATGCAACAGGCCCTGTACATTTACATTACATTTACGTCATTTAGCAGACGCTCTTATCCAGAGTGACTTACAAATTGGTGCATTCACCCTATAGCCAGTGGGATAACCACTTTACACGTTTTTTTTTTTTGGGGGGGGGGGGGGGGATCTGGTCTCTAGAGGATCTGGTCAAGGCAGCGAGCCTTGCCTCACCACTTAGTATGACCATAACGAACATGTCTAACTTGCACCGTTATGCAATTATTAAGAGACTAGATACAAATAGCTAATGCTGTCAACCACTGTTCTAGCATAAATGTATTGAGGCAAGCAGATCCGGGATGTCAAAGTGGTACCAAAGCATATGCTATGTGTATAGTGTATATAACAACTATCAATAGTCAATCAAAATAATTACTCCGTGAAACGAGGAATGCATTCACTCAAGTCAACTTATAGAATTAACACTCAAACAATTAGTGTACATCAATTCAGAATAATCTCTAAGAGAAAAATATGTGTGTGATACACACAGGAGCTTGCTAACAAGATCTCAAAGTATGAACAAATTCACTGTCCTTTTAACCAAATTTAAGCAGAAACTCACGCCCAACCTGAATGAAAAATGTAAAAACAATAGACAGGAACAACACACCCAGATTCTAATCTAATAAACTCAATTTAAATGATAGGAGAGCACCCCTGTGTCGCTTCTCTTTGAACTATCCGCCGTCCGATGAACAAAGTTTCCCTGTAACAATAAATCCATAGCACTTAAAACGTATCAAAATTGTTAGCTCTTGCTGAGTCAAAATTGAGGTTACATTGGGTGTATCGTTTTACTGCAAGAAATGCTTAACTCTGCAGAAGTTAATATTAAGGCTATGTGAGAGTTTATTGACCTACGGTCACTGTCCAGATTTCAGTTTCCATTAAACCCATCTGAAAAGTAGACTACAGTTCCCTTGACGTGCCATAAGCTTATTTGAAGTCCCCGTCTTGTGACTGTCGTATTTGTATAGTGCCTCACAGTCATCACACATAACAGCTATCATCCTCTTTTACCACTTCACCAAATCTTTCCCAAACATTACTTTTCTGGCCCTCCCTTCTCTTTATTTTCATCTCTCCATTTCGCAGCTTTTTGCCTCCGTGGATCGACTTAACATCTTCTGCCCGTTCCCAAAAGCAGTTGCTGATTGGCGTGTAGGCTGTTTGTCATGCGTACAGTTAAGCCCTAAAGCGTAGGCTTGCGCACTAATGCCAGATAGATTAGAATAATGAAAGTAAAACCTAACTGCAGCCTATAGATAGATATAAATTGTACAAGAAGGATACATTTATATTTTCTTTATTCAACCCGCCACCCACCCGCCCTTCATCCACACAATATTTAATAATAATATAAATAATATGCCATTTAGCAGACGCTTTTATCCAAAGCGACTTACAGTCATGCGTGCATAAATTTTTACGTATGGGTGGTCCCATACATCACTACAACCTAGGGCATAGCTGCTTTTAGCAACGCTAGTATTTAGACACTAATGTTGCTGGTAATTAGCTTGCAAAAAAACTTAAATTTCAACTTACTCTGATTTTCTGTAGGCTTGGTCCTTATGTGGGGGGAATTTGAGAGAAAAAATATAGGACGTATAATTAAACAATTTCCAAATGTGGGTCTGTTGTAGACCCATGCAGTTCCTCAGCGAGGTCAGTTCCTCTCTGCTTACCTCATGTTAAAAGTCCCCCACAATTTCTAGCTTATTTTTTTGTGCAGGAATGGCACGCATGCAGAACTTTTATTTTGACATGAGGTAAGCCGAGAGGAACTGACCTCGCTGAGGAACTGCATGGGTTTACAACAGACCCACATTTGGAAAGTCTATTTAATTATACATTCTATTGTTGTTTTTTTCTCAATTTCCTCCCCGCATAACGACCAACCCTATGGACAATCAGCAGAGTAAATATAAATTGTATTTCATTTCAGTCTGACTTCCGGCTGACTATTCTGTTTTTTTGCAAGCTAGGCCTAATTCCTAGTAACGCTAGTGTGTAAATTCTAGCATTGCTAAAAGCAGCTACCTAGGCCACAGCTAGTGCATTTATTAGCTAAATGTTATTTATTACAACTAGCTAGCTACAGCAGCTCGTTTCAAAATCGAGTTACTGTAACAAGCTAATTTGACCCTATCTCACACTCTACAAAACATATGCCTTCTAGCTAGTTGATGTCAACAAAGTGGTTCAACCATGTATATATATTTTTTAACACTAACATAATAAAGCTAAGTTGATGGGTACATTTGTGTCAAATGCAATATGCAAGTATAGATAATCTCCCGAGTGGCGCCAGTGGTCTTAAGGCCACTAGAGATCCTGGTTCCAATCCAGGCTCTGTCGTAGCCGGCCGCGACCGGGAGACCCATGGGGCGGCGCACAATTGGCCCAGCAGGGATGTAGCTCAGTTGGTAGAGCATGACGTTTGCAACGCCAGGGTTGTGTGTTCGATTTACACGGGGGGCCAGTATGAAAAAAAAAAAAATAAGAATGTATGCACTCACTTAACTGTAAGTCGCTCTGGATAAGAGCGTCTGCTAAATGACTAAAATGTAAATGTAATGTAAATGTAATATTGACAAGATAGTCAACTGACTGCTCTAACAATGGAAATAAATGTCTGCAAAGACGGAAGGCAGGCGGGAGGAGGCGATATCAGGTGGGAACATTCTAGGCAATGAGAGGTCAGATACGCGTGTGAAAAAGACACAATTCCGATATAAAATCGTTTTTCTCAAAGTTTCCGGAATGCCATATACAGTGCATTCGGAAAGTATTCATTCCTTGACTTTTTCCACATTTTGTTACGTTCCAGCCTTATTCTAAAATGGATTCAATTGTTCCCCCCCACGCATAAATCTACACACAATACCCCATAATGACAAAGCAAAAACAGGTTTTTTATAATTTTTTGCAAATGTATTAAAATTTAGATAAGTATTCAGACCCTTTACTCAGTAATTTGTTGACGCACCTTTGGCAGCGATTACAGTCTTCTTGGCTATGACGCTACAAGCTTGGCACACCTGTATTTGGGGAGTTTCTCCCATTTACTCTCTGCAGATCCTCTCAAGCCCTGTCAGCGTCGGTCAGCGTCGCTGCAGAGCTATTTTCAGTCTCTCCAGATATGTTAGATCGGGTTCAAGTCCTAGCTCTGACTGGACCACTCAAGGACATTCAGAGACTTGTCCCGAAGCCACTCCTGCGTTGTCTTGGCTGTGTGCTTAGGGTCGTTGTCCTGTTGGAAGGTGAACCTTTGCCCCAGTCGGAGGTCCTGAGTGCTCTGGAGCAGGTTTTCATCAAGGATCTCTCTGTACTCTGCTCTGTTCATCTTTCCTTTGATCCTGACTAGTCTCCCACTCCCGCTGAAAAACATCCCCACAGCATGATGCTGCCACCACCATGCTTCACCGTAGTGATTGGCCAGGTGATGAGCGGTGCCTGGTTTCCTCCAGATGTGACGCTTGGCATTCAGGTCAAAGAGTTAAATCTTGGTTTCATCAGACCAGAGAATCTTGTTTCTCATGGTCAGAGTCCTTTAGGTGCATTTTGGCAAACTCCAAGCGGGCTGTCATGTGCCTTTTACTGAGGGTTGGCTTCCGTCTGGGCACTACCATAAAGGCCTGAATGGTGGAGTGCTGCAGAGATGGTTGTCTGTCTGGAAGGTTCTTCTATTTCCACAGAGAAACTCTGGAGCTCTGTCAGAGTGCCTCGACACAATCCTGTATCGGAGCTCTACAGACAATTCCTTCGACCTTATGGCTTGGTTTTTGCTCTAACATGCACTGTCAACTGTGGGACCTTTTTAGGTGTATGCTTTTCCAAATCATGTCCAATCAATTGAATTTACCACAGGTGGACTCCAATCAAGTTGTAGAAACACCTCAAGGATGATCAATGGAAACAGGATGCACCTGAGCTCAATTTCGAGTCTCATAGCAAAGGGTCTGAGTACTTATGTAAATATGAATGTTCTGTTTTTTATTTTTAATAAATTTGCTAAAAACCTGTTCGCTTTGTCATTATGGGGTATTTAATCCATTTTAGAATAAGGCTGTAACGTAACAAAATGTGGAAAAAGTCAAAGGGTCTGAATACTTTCCGAACACACTGTATATCAGTACATCTGTAACAACCTAAACATTACAAAATAAGCCTCACTTAGCAAATTAGCAATTACATTTTTTGTTGACCAAATTCGACACTCATAGATTTTGGTTAATCCTCTTGCTTCGCCTCTTCCTCTCTGACAAAATTAGGAAATTAAGACTGTTTTTTGTTTTCAACAGAAATTGTAGTATCAGAGTTGAGTGTGAGACCATTTTACCAAAAAAGAGAACCCTAAACTGGGTTCATTATGGCTGCTGAACCATTAATTGGAAGGTAATTGGGTGTTAAGTTAGCTGTAGCTGTTGCCTTAGTTGAAATGAAAGTGCAAAAATAATATTTTTATTTCTTAGAACTAACCTAGCTGCCTGTTTTGTCATTGAATTTTTTTTTTTTTTTAATGTAAACCTCTTTCCTACATGACTGTCTTTGCAGACACTGATGCACTATGCTGGGAGCAGGAATTCTGTGGAGCATGGTCTTCCCCTTCTGGAGGTCTACTGCCTGTCCATCAACTGCTTTGCTGCTGCAAGGCCACACCTCACTGCAGACTCTGATAATGTGGCCCTCGTGTTAAAGAGACTAGCATTGTGAGTCAACTCAGAGTAAAAACGTGTTTGAAACTGTTAAGGTTGTACCAACATACATTTCTTCTTTTTTTTACCTGAGCAGTACCACACTTTCTACTGTGTGCTGCAATACATAGCCTGTCGTCTTAAAAATGTTTGTGCTGCATGTTAGAAATAGATAACATTGTGTCATGAAGTTTCACAAGTTGCCACTTGTTCCTCATTGTGTCTCTTTGTTATTTTGCTTTCAGGAGCTGTTTTGAACTGTTGCTGTCTGTGCCTGAAAACGAAATCCCTTATGAGGCCTGGGTTCAATTTTACCGTTCTGTTCAGGTAAAGGATGGGGTCTGTTTGATAATAAGTAAATGTGTTGTGAAAGCATGAGAGCACATCAGCAGGAGAATTGAGAGAAGTTGCAGAAGTGATTTTATTTCCAATCCAAATCTTGATATGAGGGCTGTGCTACATGAACTACTTTACCCTGCTGTCACTTTTAGCTGAAGGGACATTTGTGGCCCAACCACTTTCTTTGTGTGTGTTCTTGCGGATTTCGCAGGTGGCCCATGATGCCTTGTTGGAGTATGGGAGCACAGACCTGCAAGCCTTGCTCGAGATCACAGGAGAGGGGGGAGCATGGAGTAACCCTGTCCTAAGCGCCCTTCTCACCGGTCAGCCCACAAACACAGAGGAAGGTCAGTATCACCACCTTACTGCATTGACATGGTAATGATGCACAAGGAAGCAGCAGTGACTAATAAGGCTGATCTTGTGATTTTGAAGTATTGGTATTAGTCATCCAGCCACTGCAGCTCTGTCATTGTCCTTCAGTTGAGGCGTACATTGCCTTGGAGGGGGAGGGCTTCATGGAGATGCGGGTCAAACACCTGGAGAAAGTGGGGGAGGTGGCGAAGGCTGTGGTGCTGGCTAAGTCCTGTGCTGAATGCAACCTCGTCTCCAACCAAACCACCTTCCGGCAGACCTACGTCGCTCTCCTCTGCCACCTGCTGCCCGGTGAGGAGGCCATCATGGAGGTCTGTCAGTGTGTTGTCGTGAGAACAGCATCATTTGTCTTTTAACTCAGCTCAGTTATGTTATTTATACTGCTATTTAAGTAGCGTTCAGAGAAAGCTGAAAGGAAATGTGATGGCACAGTGAATCTGACAGTTGTGTGTTGTGCAATCTTCACAAGTAGAGTATGAACTCATTCGCCCTTGAGATGTAAGTGAAATGGTCCACAATACTGTAGTTCTATGCATGATTTGGCCTTTATTATTTATCCCACAGATATCCAGACTAGACTGTAAGGATGTGCTGGATATTACATGCAGTTTGGAGACAGAGGGGGAGGAAAACACAGCCTTCATCCTGTGTACCACCTTCCTAACTCAACAGCTGCAGCAGCAGAGCTTGTACTGCTCCTGGTGAGTTTTTTAGTGGTCAATGTCAAATCTTGGGAAGCATATGGATAAATTGAAGTGAATGAATGTTATGCACATGAATGATCTCATTTGCAGAGGGACCCTGAATAATCGTAGCCCAATCTTAGTTCTGGGCTGGTGTGCAGTTTTTGGTCTTTCTAATGTATATTTCTCTGTGCTGCTTCATCTTTAGGGAGCTCACACTGTTGTGGAGTAAGCTTCAGAGAAGGATTGACCCATCTTTGGAATCACTGCTGGAGCGTTGCCTGCAGCTAGGTGCCATTGCTAAGACCGTTTACCATCTGCTCTTCCTTGTGCACGTCATTCGGACAGAGGTAGAAGAATACAGCTTTTTCTCCCTCTGATTTTGAATGTCATTGCAATAAATTGTTAAGCAGTTTTGAATTGTTATTTTAGTGAAATATTAGTTTTGAAAATAAATCTAAATTTGTAGGCCACTGATTCCCCTGTTTCTTCTACAGGCTGAGGAGCTAGGTCTGGCTTCGTCTGTGGAGTTATGTGTTAAAGCACTACAGCTCCCAAACAAAGAGGACACAGAGACGAGGATTTCTGTGTGCAAGACTGTAGCCTGCCTCCTAGCAGATGATCTTGAGGTGTTGCGAGCTTGCCAGCTGACAGAGTTTCTGTTAGGCCTCTCTCTTGTGGCCTTCAGCTCCCTTGAAGAGCTCTCTCTGCGGACCGATCAGAAGTATGACCAGGAAAATGCCACCATCCCCAACTCCCTGCGGTGTGAACTGCTCCTGGCACTTAAAGCCCACTGGCCTTTCGACCCCGAATTCTGGGACTGGAAAACACTCAAGCATCAGTGCATCAGGCTGCTGGGGCTTGAGCCTGAGCCAGAGGAGGATGAGGAAGAAGAGGAAGAGGGGGGGCAGGAGGAGGTTAGTCTTGGGCAGGATGTAAAGGAGGAGGTGGAGAGGGGATTTGTTGATATGCCAAGAGAATACTTAAATGGGACAAGTGTTGGAATTGATGGACATGAGGGAAATGAGAGGGACAGTAAACCATCTTTAAAGCCAGATGCTGAGGGTACCTCAGTACAGGGCTCACTGCCGAAGAAATACAAGTTGTTCTGCAAGATCTGTAAGAAACATTTTACTGAAACGCGAATCCTTCTTCACTCTAAGAGGCATGAAAAAAACAGTGTTTTCACCTGCCCTGTCTGCCTGAAGAAGTTTAAGAGCAGAAAAGATTTTATCCCACATACTAAACTACACCTTCGAATGCCATCCAGAAGCACTTGGCAGAAGAAAAAGGACAAACAGAGGATTGATTGGGATAAAGAAATGGAGGAGGATGACTTTGAGCCTGGTGAGATTGCCCTTGATCCATCCTTAATGCTGTACTACCAGTCCACACATGATCCTGATGTTCTGGAGCACATTTTAGAACAAGCTTCATCTGCACCCAGGAAGCCTGGACATGAGGATAATGTCACATTTGATTACATTAACTTTCATTTTGAATTGCAGAATCGTGACATATACACATGCCCTGCCACTCACTGTACAAAGACTTTTAAGCATTCCAAGTACTTGGGTGTGCACTTAAAATCTGAACATGTTAGGGACCAGAACGTGAAACATTATTTTGAAATGAAAGACCGTAGGGAAAAGTGCACTTACTGCCGGCGCCACTTCATGTCTGCCTATCACCACCGAAGACATCAGCGTTTGCACTACGGTGACCTGCCTTACATGTGTATGGTCACAGGTTGTGGTGCTCGTTTCAGCACCTCCAATGAGCTTCTCGCACATAAGCATAGCCATGGCTATGAACTTAGCTACCAGTGTGAGCTCAAAGGATGTAGTCTTTCTTTCTGTGACTTGGGGCAGGTATACCACCATGAAGCACAGCACTTTCGTGATGCTGCATACAGCTGCGCAAGCCTTGAATGCAAGAAGTTCTACTTTTCTAAAAAGGAATTCAGCAGGCATTTAGCGTCACACGGCATTACCTTCTCTCAGGAAGACTTTGAGGCACAGAGGAAGGCCATAAGAAAACATCTTGACTCCATAACTGAGGACATAGCCAGCCCCAAAAAGTATTGTGAAACAAAGACTGTACTGGAGGAGGTAGTCAATGGGGGAAATAATGCTACTTCCTCTACATGCAGAGCCTCCTCTTCACATGTGTCGAGCTGCAAGGAGCCCAAAGGCACAATGACATTGGTTGCTGTGTGCTTTGATGGAAAAAAGTTCACTTGTGGTTTTGAGAGGTGTGGATTGACCTTCTCCAAAGCTAGAGATGTTCACAAGCACCTGAGGGGTTTTCATCCAGAGCATTTCAAGGCAGAGAATAAGGAACGCAAAAATCTTGACAAAGAGGAGGGCTTGGAATCTAAAGGTCTAAAGGTCAAAACAGAGCAGGACAATGATGACAAGAACAAACATGAACATGCAGCTTGTCTGCTAATGAAGGGATCAAGCCAGGGAATTGCTTGCCCTTCCCTTATTAAGAACAACACAACATCTACCTCATGCCTGGCCAATGATAATGACCCTTTGAGAGAGATTTTGATTGGGCTTAGCCAGCTTAGTCTGACTCCCTCCAACTCTACAAATGGATATTGTGAGCCCTCCCACCCAATGTCAGAGTCCACCACATCAAAGATATCCTGCAATCAGGGTCTTGGCACCATGTCCCCAGTTGTGTTATTGCAAAAGAGAGCACCACCCGCTGTTGGTGAGAGGATGAAATTGACATCAACCCCTGAACCATCAGTAGCCCACGGTCTACCCTCAGAGCAACACTTAGAGTCTACTAAGCCATACTTCTGTGAGCTTAATGGCTGCAACTTTAGATGTGTGATGAGCACTACCCTGAGGCGCCACTACATGAACAAGCATCATTTCTCAGAGGAGAAGGTGAAAGGAATGAAGATCCTCAAGTCACTGACATTTAAGCCATTTAAGTGCCACCTCTGCTTCAAATGCCATAGAGAGAAGACAGACTTGAGGGTTCATTATCTTCAGACTCATAGACTTAGCGAGGCAGTTGTGGAGAAAATGAGCTGGTCTAAAAAGTGGGTTGAGGGTAAACCCCCAGAACCCACCAAGCCCACAGTCTCCCTTATACACAAATCTCAGACCCTCACCTGGCAACACCCCTCCTGGCAGCAGAAGTACCAGAAAAAGAAAGTAATGTGGAGGCGACATGTGGAGGGACATCCTTCCGTGCTTTCAGAAGACCCAGCTTTACAGAAGTTTAGGTGCAGCTACGCCAACTGTAATGCCTCTTACCTCCTGAACAGTAGCTTGGTGCGTCACTTGGAGAGTGAGCATCCTTACCAGGCGAAGAGTAGCCTAAAGCATCACAGAAAGAGTAATCATCCTTACCAGGCGGCCGTGTGCTGCAAGTACGACGGCTGTACCCAAGTGTTCACCCAAAGCAGTAGTCTGAAAAAACATGTACTCTCTAGCCACCTCAATTACTATGATTCACTCGTATTGCGTCTCCAGAATACTCACAACGACACTTCAGTCACTGGTTGCCAAAAGAAGTTGATCTTCACATCATCTACGCTACAGAAAGATGCAACCAAGCTACCTCTCAGGCAATCTCTGAGACACTGCCCAAAGTCTCCCGAAGATGTTAAGGCTGAAGAAACTAGTGAAGAGCATGATGAAGATGATGGTGAAATGTTGAATGTTGACCAAAGTATTGTAGAGTCCAAATCAAAACACAAGTTTGAAGATATGGTCTTCCGTTCCCATGAGGAGGCCTTGCAGATGTGCCAAGATCGCTGTCAACGTGAAGCCTACCCATGCATGGTGCAGGGTTGTGATTCTGTAGTCAAATTGATACGTAGTATGCGCCGTCACTATTTGAATTGCCACAAATTAACCAATCAGGCTTTTGAATTGAATGAGAATAAGCTTGTGTTTAGTGCAGAGCAACTGGAGGAGCTGATACAGAGGAATACTGTATTATCTGCTTGGCCTGATATGACGAGGGCACCTAACGGAGTTCTGAAGATGGAGTATCAAGCAGAGCCAGAGAACCCTGGTGGTCCATCTGTGCCTATGAGTCTGCACTCCATCAAAGCAGAAACCCTTGATGACCATGACCCACTGGGGTTCAAAGAGGAGCCACCTGCGGAGAGGAATGTTTTGGTTGGTGCAGATGACTTGCTTTATGGAGAACCTACTGGGCACACGGAGGACCCTGCTACTCAGAACAGCCACAGCCAAGAGGCAAGGCCAAGGCGAAAATCCTCAAACCCGCCTGCTCTTGATCTCTCTCCACCATCCTCCCTCCGATTCAGTGTTGATGAGGGCTTCATGGACAGTTCAGGCAAACCAACAAACATTGTGTCCTTGTCCTCTCCTCAAGCCCGCCAGCCACTTAAACGTAAGAACGCGCTCTCTGACCACCCACCCATTTCAAAGGACCCCCAGCCTCAAATCCCTCCCCCTCACACATTTGACCTGGCTACTTACAAACCTATGGGATTCGAGTCGTCTTTCCTGAAGTTCATACAGGAGAACTCCAAGGATAAGGATGCTGAGAGGCCCCAGGCTTCTCACTGCAACAACCACAGGCCTGATCCAACTGTGGTGTCAGCTCGACAGCGGGATTCCTACAGACATAGCTGTTCTGTAAAGGAGAACAGCCAGGTGGGCCTCACTACTACCCATAGCAGGCGGGCTCAGTCTTCCCCACTTAAGACTCTTCCCAGGACAGGGGACACATCAGTCCAGAACTTGCGCGTCATCTTAGACAAGGCTCTTACAGGTTGTGGTGACCTAGCCATTAAGCAGCTGCATCACCTCAGGCCCGTGGTGGTTCTTGAGAGGCCAAGGTTTTCCACTTCCTTGCTTGACCTCTTCCCCACAAAAATGAATGATAAGCTAATTCTCGAAGGTTCGTAGAACTGAGCACTTTTGTGTCCAATATAAAGATTTTCTCAGTGTTATTTTCCTAATGTTATTACTACTCTGATATTATCAGTCTCTTTTAAGTTGCCAAGAAAAACGGCCCCCTGATTTTTTGAAAAACCTCTTCAGTGTGTATCACATTTCTGTCAGATGAACGTTCCAATGTAAATGTATCTTAACTTTTATAAAACATTTTCAAATATTATTTAGAAGAACGATTTAGCTCATTTTCCCATTCCAATGCTATTAATTTGTCTGAATATAGCTTTCATGGGACAGAAACATCTAATTTGCCATTTTTGTCCCCTCTGAGTATCAAGACACCATTTCTTCAATACAGTAGGCAGACATGTAATGCTTTATAAGATTAATAAATGTTTGAACAGGACCTTTCAAAAATATGAAATTGCATTGTGTATTTTTCTTTTCCTTTTCATTCCTTACATTGATTAGCCTGTAAACTCTTCAGGAAACTAGTCAGTATTTCTTATGAAAGTGACAGTGGGCTATATTTTCAGTCTATGAAAATATACCAATTTTACATTAGCTCCTGTTTGCCCCACCCCCCAGGATGTCATTTTCCATTTTCTGAATGTCCATAAAACCTCATATTCTGAATTATTTGTACAGTCGTGGTCAAAAGTTTTGAGAATGACACAAGTATTGGTCTTCACAAAGTTTGCTGCTTCAGTGTTTTTAGATATTTTTGTCAGATGTTACTATGGTATACGGAAGTATAATTACAAGCATTCCATATGTGTCAAAGGCTTTTATCGACAATTACATTACGTTTATGCAAAGAGTCAATATTTGCAGTGTTGAACCTTCTTTTTCAAGACCTCTGCAATCCTCCCTGGCATGCTGTCAATTAACTTCTGGGCCACATCCTGACTGATGGCAGCCCATTCTTGCATAATCAATGCTTGGAGTTTGTCAGAATTTGTGAGTTTTTGTTTGTCCACCCGCCTCTTGAGGATTTCTCAATGGGATTAAGGTCTGGGGAGTTTCCTGGCCATGGACCCAAAATGTCGATGTTTTGTTCCCCGAGCCACTTAGTTATCACTTTTGCCTTATGGCAAGGTGCTCCATCATGTTGGAAAAAGCATTGTTCGTCACCAAACTGTTCTTGGATGGTTGGGAGAAGTTGCTCTCGGAGGATGTGTTTGTACCATTCTTTATTCATGGCTGTGTTATTAGGCAAAATTGTGAGTGAGCCCACTCCCTTGGCTGAGAAGCAACCCCACACATGAATGGTCTCAGGATGCTTTACTGTTGGCATGACACAGGACTGATGGTAGCGCTTACCTTGTCTTTTTACCGGATGCCCCAAACAATTGGAAAGGGGATTCATCAGAGAAAATGACTTTACCCCAGTCCTCAGCAGTCCAATCCCTATACCTTTTGCAGAATATCAGTCTGTCCCTGAGGTTTTTCCTGGAGAGAAGTGGCTTCCTCGCTGCCCTTCTTGACATCAGGCCATCCTCCAAAAATCTTTGCCTCACTGTGCGTGCAGATGCACTCACACCTGCCTGCTGCCATTCCTGAGCAAGCTCTGCACTGGTGGTGCCCCGATCCCGCAGCTGAATCAACTTTAGGAGACGGTCCTGGCGCTTGCTGGACTTTCTTGGGTGCCCTGAAGCCTTCTTCACAACAATTGAACCTCTCTCCTTGAAGTTCTTGATAATCCGATAAATGGTTGATTTATGTGCAATCTTACTAGCAGCAATATCCTTGCCTGTGAAGCCCTTTTTGTGCAAAGCAATGATGACGGCGCGTTTCCTTGCAGGTAACCATGGTTAACAGAGGAAGAACAATGATTTCAAGCACCACCCTCCTTTTAAAACTTCCAGTCTGTTATTCTAACTCAATCAGCATGACAGAGTGATCTCCAGCCTTGTCCTCGTCAACACTCTCACCTGTGTTAACGAGAGAATCACTGACATGATGTCAGCTGGTCCTTTTGTGGCAGGACTGAAATGCAGTGGAAATGTTTTTGGGGGATTAAGTTCATTTTTATGGCAAAGAGGGACTTTGCAATGAATTGTAATTCATCTCATCACTCTCCATAACATTCTGGAGTATATGCAAATTGCCATCATAAAAACTGAGGGCAGACTTTGTGAAAATGTAATATTTGTGTCATTCTCAAAACCTTTGACCACGACTGTAGTGTGCACTACAGTAACACAGTATTGCCGTTGTATACAGGAAGATACCAGTCAAATATCAATGGATGATTCTTATTTTTAAATGATTATCTATTTATTTTGCCTGCTAACACTTTATAAAAAATTGTTTTATAGACTTTAATGTAAAGAGGCATAAGTAGTATATAAACTTTGCATTATTGCTGAGCTTTATTCTCTACGGGATCGATGTCCCATATACGGGACGGTTGAGCTAATGTGATTAGCATGACTGTTGTAAGTAACGGCAAACCTTCCAGGACATAGACATAGACATGTCTTTATATGGGCAGAAAGCTTAAATTCTTGTTAATCTAACTGCACTGTCCAATTTACAGTAGCTATTACAGTGGAACAATACCATGCTATTGTTTGAGGAGAGTGCACAACAACAAAAAACTTTTTTTTAAAGGTTTGATACATTCACATTCGCCTCCCGAGTGGCGCAGTGGTCTAAGGCACTGCATCGCAGTGCTAGCTGTGCCACTAGAGATCCTGGTTCGAATCCAGGCTCTGTCGTAGCCGGCCGCGACCGGGAGACCCATGGGGCGGCGCACAATTGGCCCAGCGTCGTCCAGGGTAGGGGAGGGAATGGCCGGCAGGGATGTAGCTCAGTTGGAGCATGGCGTTTGCAACGCCAGGGTTGTGGGTTCGATTCCCACGGGGGGCCAGTATGAAAAAATTAAAAAATAATGTATGCACTCACTAACTGTAAGTCGCTCTGGATAAGAGCGTCTGCTAAATGACTAAAATGTAAACGTAAATGTAAGGTAAATAATGTACTTACATTCAGTAATCTTGCTCTGATTTGTCATCCTAAAGGTCCCAGAGATAAAATGTAGCATAGTTTTGTTTGATAAAATCAATTTGTATATTCAAACGTAGGAACAGGGTTCTATAGTTTGAACCCCTGCTGTCTCTGGCTCTACACCCACCCCGCCCGGCCATCTAGATGTGTGAAAGTTAGTGTATAAGTTAATGATCCATCATGAATGACATTCCTGGGAGTGTGTAAACTTCCATTTTGTATTACCATATCATTTTTGTATGTTCTTTATAGTTATGTACTTGAAAATGTATCAATTGACCAATTCGGCACATTTGGGCAAACTTGATACAAAATAGTCCAGTATTGCAATGCTTCACTGGATCAATCTGAAACTTTGCACACACTGCTGCCATCTAGTGGCCAAAATCTAAAATGTGCCTAAACTGCAATATTATATTGTGGCCTTTCTCTTGCAAAAAAATAAATTTTAATTAAAAAGCATGTTTTTTTGTTTGTATTATCTTTTACCAGATCTAATGTGTTATATTCTCCTACATTAATTTCACATTTCCACACACTTCAAAGTGTTTCATTTCAAATGGTATCAAGAATATGCATATCCTTGCTTCAGATCCTGAGCTACAGGCAGTTAGGTTTGGGTATGTCATTTTAGGCGAAAATTGAAAGAAAAAGGGTCCGATCCTTAAGAGGTTAATTCAAGTGCACACGAGACTTGTTAGGTTAGTGGTGTTTCTGTAGCACATGTGACTGCAGAGTTAGCTTAAATCACCACTAGATTGATGCAAATAATCACAATATCATTCTGCCAGGTAGGCATTGGCTACTTCGTAGTTAACATTTAATTGAGAAGGTTTTTGGGAAAGCCTTTCCATCTACCAGAAGACTTCATCGCTAACGGCTACATAAACTGGTAGACAAACATGCACACACAGACAGGGGCATTCTGCAGTGCCTCTTCAGAAAGTTTAAGGAAAATACAAATCACTGATGCATTTTGTTAATGTCTTACGATAATCTTGGGCAAATGTATACATTTTCGAATAAATCAAATATATATTTTTATTTTGTTAAATTCCGATGTAATGTCTGGATTACGTGATACCGTCTGCGTTCCCCGTGGATTTTATAGGGCCCTAATTGTGCAGTCGAAGGAAGTCAGTGCAAACTCATGTCGTGGGGGTGATTTCATGCAATCACAGTTTCTTAAAAGTGAGAGTGCTCTGTCGAGGGCTGTATCTCTGTCAGTCTATCTCATCATGTCTTGTATGAGCCTTAAAAAAGACAGGGCTTCAAGTCTCTGCACCCCCCCCCCACACACCTCTACTTGCCTCTCCGTTTGGTCCCTAGAGGCCACTGCTAGTCAACAGTCAGACCCAGAAAGAGATTGCATCTTTTCCTTCTAAAGCCAGTCCTTGCATTACATTTGACATTGAAGCTTACAGTACAGGTACAGTACGTATCGCAAAGAAACTTGTTTTTACAGAGTGCTGTATCATTGATTGTAGTGATATCACCAGTTGCCCAAATACTTACGTCTTTTATGATTGTAGTAATATTAATGACAAATGCAGTCTGAAAAAAGAGAGAAGGGGGTGAAGTGACCGACCAAGGTAACATTGTGGCATGTTTACACCTGGTTTTATAATTTCCATCTATTGAGGACAGCGGATCTTGAACCGCGCAATTAACAGACATTAGTAACGTCACAGCAACATTGTAGCTAATATAGCGTCTAACAATTGAATGATGCATTCACCATGCAGCCGGTGGAGAAAAAGCACAAGATAATTTGATGTAGGATTTTTTATTTTAACCTCAGAGATTGAAATTCGTCCATACTGGTAGAGAAAGATCAGTTTACCTTGTTAGCCAGCTAGATAGATTAATTTATCTCACGACAGCCAACAATATAACTAAACAAAATGTAGCTAGCATGCGAGTCCAATGTTTGACGGCTACATACAGTGCCTTCGGAAAGTATTCAGACCCCTTGACTTTTTCCACTGTTACGTTACAGC